TGCCTCCGCACACCGCCCTGCCGGCCCTCTCACCGCCCCGCCTCCCTCCCCCCCCCCAGACACCGCCCCGCCGCCTCGGCCACCGTCACCCCAGCCCCGCACGCCGCCCCGCCGCCCCGCGCCGCCCCGCGCCGCCCCGCGCCGCCCCGCACGCCGGCCCGCCGGCCTACACACAGATCCTCTTGCCCGCACACCGCCGTGCTGCAGCCTCCATGCCGGCCACACGGGGCGCTACATCCCGCCAGTGCCTGTTCCAGCTCCTGTAGTGAACTGTCATCTCAAATCCTTAAGGAGTTTAAATACATAAATAGCAAGGACATTTACTAATTCTGCTACTCAGATCGTTGTTCCTCGGGGTCGGCCCTGTGGCGCAGAAGGTTCCATCCCTGACCTGCGGCGCCGGTTCGAGTTCCAGCTGCTCCACTCCAGATCCAGCTCTGCTTTGGCCTGGGAAAGCAGTAGAAGATGACCCAAGTCCTTGGGCCCCTGCACCAGTGTGGGAGACCAGAAAGAAGCTCCTGGCTGCTGGCTTCAGATCGGCGCAGCCAGTTGGGGAGTGAACCATTGGATGGAAAACCTCTCTCTCCCCCCGCCCCTTCTTTCTCTGTGTAACTCTTTCAAATAAATAAATAAATAAAAAGACTCAACGTTTTAAAAAAAATAAAAAAATCTCTATTTCCCTACGGATTTTTAAAAGATTTATTTGAAAGGCGGAGTTACAGAGAGGCAGAGGTAGAGAGAGAAGTTTTACATCCGCTGGTTCACTCCCCAAATGGTCCCAACGGCCGGAGCTGTGCTGATCCAGAGCCAGGAGCCAGGAGATTCTTCTGGGTCTCACACACGGGTGCAGGGACCTAAGCTCTTGGGCCATCTTCCACTGCCTTCCCAGTAGACAGCCGCTGTAGCTGCTACCCCACAGCGCCGGCCCCACTAAGAGAGTTTCAAAAATTAACGTAGCTCCTGAATATTTGAGGACTCAGATCTACAGTTTCCTTGCAATAACTTAAGGAATTCTAGGTTTAAAAAAATGGAAAGGATGAATTCACTCAGGCGTCCAAATCTGGAGATTCCAAATCTGCACATCCAACCAACTATGCACTGAAAATATTTGGAATTTTAAAAAAAATGCCCCTGTGCTGAAAATACAGAGGTGTTTCCTTGTCATTATTCCCTGAACACAGTACAGCAACATAGCACTCGTGTCGTGCCGGATTGCAAGTCCTCTAGAGATGTTCCGAAGCACTTGTATGAAGGAGGATTGTGTAGTTTATATAATATAAGCCATTTAATATAAGGCACGCATTTTGGTATCTGCAGACATGCTGGAACCCATAAATTTCCTGCAAATAATCAGAGGACAACTGAACCTTGTGTATTATAAATATTGACACTATTTATTTATTTGAAAGAGTTACGGAGAGGCAGAGAGAGAGAGAGGTCTTCCATCTGCTGGTTCACTCCCCAAATGGCCCAATGGCTGACGCTGCGCTGATCCGAAGCAGGAGCCAGGAAATTCTTCTGGGTTTCCCACACAGGTGCAGGGGCCCAAGGAGTTGGGCCATCTTCTACTGCTTTCCCAGGCCATAGCAGAGAGCTGGACCAGAAGTGGAGCAGCCGGGACTTGAACCAGTGCCCATATGGGATGCCGGCACTGCAGGCTGGGGCTTTAACCTGCTGTGTCACAGTGCTGGCCCAAAAGTTTTATCAATTACTTAATCATATGGTAAGATAAGTACATGAATTAAATTTTTAAAATTTTCCACATATGAGTATTACACTAATTTTGATAAATTATTAAGCACAGAATTGCAGCTCTAAATTAGATGGATGCGTATTACTTATTGCTAGAGGAGACAGGATTTAGTTGCAAGATTTTTTTTTTCTTTTTTTGGAAAGAGAGGGAGCTCCTATCCTCTGGCTCACTCCCCAAGTGCCCCCAGTAGCAGGGCTGAAACTGGAGGCCAGGGACTCAGTCCAGCCTCCTTTAAAAGTGGCAGGGTCCCAGCTGCTTGAGCCACCGCCACCGGGTCCCAGGGCCTGCATGAGTGTCAAGCTGAAGTCAGGAGCTGGAGCCAGGGCTTGAACCAGGCCTCTGATACAGATGTGGGCAGCTTAGCTGTTAGCCAGAGTGCCGCCCTACTGCTTTTTCTGTTTTTAGAATTGTCCCCTAGGAACCGTTTTTCTGTAACCAGAACCGGTAATTGCCAAAAGGCGGTACGCAGCGCATTATGATGTGTTCTCTTCTACATCTTAGATGAGTTTCTAACTTCTGTTGAAAGAAGAGTTGGCGGGGGGGGGGGGGGGGCGGTGCCGTAGCAGGTAAAGCCACCACCTGAAGTGCCAGCATCCCCATATGGGCGCCAGTTCGAGACCCAGCTGCTCCACTTCCAATCCAGCTCCCTGCTCTGGCCTGGGAAAACAGTGGAGGATGGCCCAAGTCCTTGAGCCCCTGCACCCGTGTGGGAGACCCAGAAGAAGCTCTTGGCTCCTGGCTTCGGATCGGCACAGTTCTGGCCGTTGCAGTCATTTGGGGAGTGAACCAGCAGATGAAAGACCTCTCTGCCTTTGCCTCTGCCTCTCTGTAACTCTACCATTCAAATAAATAAATAAGAGTTGGTAACGTCTTCAGTTACAAAAGAATTTGTTGCTCTTCCTCCTTCACTCTCTCCAACAGACGCAAACATTTTTTGCGGACACTTGGCTGGGAGCCCTGGAGGTTGTCGGGGTGCGTGTGGGTGTGAGTGCAGGTGACATGGAAGCCCTTACTGGTGACGTGAGGAAGGGCAGTGTGCAGAAGAGGTGTGGGGCAGGCGTTCCCGGTGGATCCGCAGAACCCAGTGCTCACCGCCGCGCCTCTGCTTCGTGCCCAGGGCCCAGCCCAGCTTCCTGGTGGCCGTGCTCTGGTGCGTGGGTTCCTGCTTCGAGTGACAGAACCCGTGCAGCCTCTTGGCCTAGGTGACGTCCTGTGCTGTCCACAAGGCGGCCACTCTTTAATGAGTACTTGAAATATAAGTAGCGCATCTGAGGAGCTGACTGTAAATTGTATTTATTTTTAATTAAATTTAGTAGCAAGCACGGCAAGGGGCCAGCCTATGGGGCAGTGAGGTCCCGGATGTGGTTAGACTTCCTCTCCCAGGGCAGGCCAGGTGGGGGTCTGGTTCCTCCTCTCCCGCAGTTAGGACTGGGGGTGGCACTATAGGCCACCCCCAAGCGTGCCACTTTGGCACACAGATTATTCTGAGCCAGTGACACCTGGATGACAGCAGTTGCAAGAAGCTCCTGTTCTTCCAGACAGCAGGAGACCCAACTCCAAAGAGAAAGCTGCCCCGTCCATCCCAGGAGGAAAAGCGTTCTGGGCACTGAAGGTGGGAGCTGAGGCTGAGAGAACTGTGCCAGCGGGCCCGGCTGAGACACCCCATCTCTTCCCCTAGTCTCCCCATGTGTTGGAGTTATTTTCCACTGTTGCTGCTCTTTGATCAACCCGGTAGATAAGCTCTTGGGGTTGCTAACTTTGGAGTCTTTATTTTCCTGTGGAGGTTCTCATGCGCGTGGGAAAGTCTATATGCTTTCTCCTGCTACTCTGTGTTACACCAGTGTAACTTTCAGCCACAGACCCTTAAGGGGCAAAGGTAGTGTTTTGCCTCTTCTTCCAAGGTCAAGCATCTCTCGTTCCTCCCTCTGCTCTTCACTACCGTCACCTCCGCCTGCTCCAGCAGACCCCAAGCGCACAGCTTGAGAACTCGGAGCGCAGACTTAAAGCAATGTGAGGAGGTCCTGGCGCTGAGAGGCAGCAGGAGCCGTGGTCCCGCTCCACTGACTGGGACCTGCACCATCCAGAGGCCGTTTCCGCGTGTGGACAGGAGTCCTTTGGTGCTGGCCTCAACCCGAGAGGGAGGCAGCGGGCCGGAGTCATCCTGGGAGGAGGGGCGGGCAGGCGCAGTCTGCGTGTGGGGACCAGCCCCATCCGGGTGCTGGAGGTTCCGTGAAAGCGAGGAGAGCGCAGAGTGGCTGCTGACAGGCGCTGGTTACAAGGGTTACTTGGAGGTGAGAGCAGCCCCCTTGATCGGTTCTCTGGGGTCATTCATCTCATCACAGGCAGTGCCATTGTGGGGGAGGGAAGGACTGAGGGGAAGACAGCACACCATAAACCCCATGCAACATCTTTAACTGAACAAGTCAACAGACACACAATGTGGATAGCAAAAGTCAATATCGGGCGGGCTCCACGTGACTCCTCCCAGCGAGGCAGCTGCAGCCGGAGGCTGTCCCGGCCTGGTTGTGAAACCGGCCTTGTTGTTGCCGGCCCTCCTGTGCGCAGTCAGTCGGGGAAAGGGCACGGGTTCCAGGCGTGTGCCCAGAGACAGGAGCCGGGCCCCCGGCAGCCCTCTGCCCGCGAGGGCGCCCTGGATGAGAGCAAGGGTACAGGGGCTGGGACGGTTGGGAAGTGATGGGAGGGGTTCAGCAGGGAGGCCATGGAAGGCTCCGCGAGGAGTGGGAGGTGAGTCCTGGTGATGGTGTCTACCTGTTCTTCCAGACGCTGAGGGTCGCCGTGGGGGGACTCGGGCTACCCTCCCCACGCCCTGCTGACCACTCACCTGAGTAACCACTAGAAAGCCTGCCTCCAGTCCCTTCTGTTTATTTTTTTTTTTTTTTTTTTTTTTTTTTTTTTTGACAGGCAGAGTGGACAGTGAGAGAGAGAGACAGAGAGAGAAAGGTCTTCCTTTGCCGTTGGTTCACCCTCCAATGGCCGCCGCTGCAGCCGGCGCACCGCGCTGATCCTGGCAGGAGCCAGGAGCCAGGTGCTTTTCCTGGTCTCCCATGGGGTGCAGGGCCCAAGCACCTGGGCCATCCTCCACTGCACTCCCTGGCCATAGCAGAGAGCTGGCCTGGAAGAGGGGCAACCGGGACAGAATCCGGTGCCCCAACCGGGACTAGAACCCGGTGTGCCGGCGCCGCAAGGTGGAGGATTAGCCTATTGAGCCACGGCGCCGGCTCCTTCTGTTTATTTTTAAAAGGTCTATTCGAGAGAGAGAGATTGATCTTCCGTCCACTGGTTCGCCCCCCAAATGGCCACAATGGCCGGAGTTGGACCAGACTGAAGCCAGGTGCCAGGAGCTTTCTCTAGGTCTCCCACATGGGTGCAGGAGCCCAGGGACTTGGGCCATTTCCTGCTGCTTTCCCAGACACAGTAGCAGGGAGCTGGATCAGAAGTGGAGCAGCTAGGACTGCACACATGCTGACCCTTACCTCCTTACATTTTGAAATTGGTGACTGTATGGAGGCCGGCACTGTGGCGTAGCGGGTAAAGCCTCTGCATGCAGTGCTGGCATCCCATATGGGTGCTGGTTCGAGTCCCAGCTGCTCCACTTCCGATCCAGCTCTCTGCTATGCCTGGGAAAGCAGTAGAAAATGGCCTAACTCCTTGGGCCCCTGCCCCAACGTGGGAGACTGGAAGAAGCTCCAGGCTCATGGCTTGGGACCAGCCCAGCTCCAGATGTTTCAGCCATCTGGGAAGCAAACCATTATTATATTTAATAATATTTATTTTAACAAAAAGGTTGATGACTGTGGCACCCCAAGCGCTGCCCAGGATGCTGTGGGGCTGCAGGCCGATTTGTGTCCTGCCGGCTGTGGCTGCCTGCCTTTTCTGTAGCTCTGCTCAGGGGTCTTTTCTCTCTGGACAGCCTCTCTGGTTGGCGCCCTCTCAGCCCAGGGCGACCTCTGCACAGAGCACTCACTCAGCTCCCACCTCCACCCTCTGTCGGCACCTGGTCCTCTCATTGCGGCTGGTTCTTTCCCCAGCACTGCACGCTGGATCACCCCAGACCTGGCAGAAGGCAAATGTTCAGTGTGTCCAGCCAAGGTCATCCTTCTTACCCTAAGCGGAATATTTTTCAGCAGATGGTACTGGAAAAATAAGCATTAAACTATATGGAATTCAGGCTGTGGACCTAACTCTTCAGAAGGGGAAACCGAGGCCCTGGAGAAGGGGCCGCAGGACTGCACAGCGTGTCACAGTGGGGCACAGATGTGGGCCCCTCTGTGGGTGGCACAGCCCTCGCTAGTGACACCAAAACCCATCCCCAGCTGGTGTCCGTCCCTGTGACAGCCCACGACAAGCTCAATGGTCTCGTTCCCAGTGTCTAAAAACATTCATTGACTGCTGTATTTTCTTTCATTGACTGCTGTATTTTCTTTCTCATTTCTTTAAGTTGTGGATTTTTTGTTGTTGTTGTTGTTGGCGATGCATAGAGAGATCTGCTGGTTTACTCCTCAAATGCCTGCAATGGCCAAGGCTAAGCCAGGCCCAAGCCAGGAGCCAGGAACTCAGCCCAGGTCTCCCATACGTGTGGCAAGGACCCAAGTGCTTGAGCCACCACCTGCTGCCTCCCAGGGCGGGCTTTGGCAGGGAGCTGGAGTCGGAGGAACCATGAGATGAAGGTAACCCAAGTGGCACCTTAACCACAAGGCCAAACATCTGTCTTTTTCATTTCTACTGCAGTTATCTTTTTAGAAAATCTTCATTTTATTAAATCTGAGCGTGAAACAATGCATATTACAGAGATTCTGAATGTGCTGGAAAGAGAAAATGCTGAATTCCACCAGACAAGGGGACAACCTGCTATTATTAAAGCATTTTTGTCACAAATAAATCTCTATAACTGACATCAAAGTAAAAAAAAAAAAAAAGTCAATATCATGGCCGGCACCGCGGCTCACTAGGCTAATCCTCCGCCTTGTGGCGCCGGCACACCAGGTTCTAGTCCCGGTCGGGGTGCCGGATTCTGTCCCGGTTGCCCCTCTTCCAGGCCAGCTCTCTGCTGTGGCCAGGGAGTGCAGTGGAGGATGGCCCAAGGGCTTGGGCCCTGCACCCCATGGGAGACCAGGATAAGTACCTGGCTCCTGCCATCGGATCAGCGCGGTGTGCCGGCTGCAGCGCGCCGGCCGCGGCAGCCATTGGAGGGTGAACCACTGGCAAAAGGAAGACCTTTCTCTCTGTCTCTCTCTCTCACTGTCCACTCTGCCTGTCAAAAAAATAAAATAAAATAAAGGAAAAAGAAAAAGAAAAAAAAAGAGTCAGTATCGTAAGGGTTTTTATTAATGCAACTCCCCACCCCCCAATTCCAACCATTTTCTTTTCTGGCTAATTCTACATTTTTTGAAAAGGCAAAGGGGCAAGAAAACCCAGGAAGTTTCTGAAAAGAAAAAGCAGGCAGACGTGCTCAGCCACAGGGGAGGATTCGCTCTGACCCTACAGCGTTAGGGTCCGCAGCACCGGCTCGGGGCAGCGCTCGGGAGCACTCGGGAGCCGCAGGTTCCACGTCCTCAGATTCAGTCAGCTGTGGGTTGAAAGCAGTTGAGAAAACTGAACATGTGCAGACTTCCTACTCCTTTGTCATCATCCCCCAAATAATGTATGTGACGACTGTTTTCACAGCATGTACGTCGCATTTATTAGTTATAGTGAGTAACATAGACATGATTTTAAGTATACAGTGGGTTATGCGTGGATCACAAACACAACAGATTTCACAGAAGGGACGCGAGTATCCCTTGATTTTGGAAGCTTTGAAGGGTTCTGGATCCAGTTCCCCGGCAGATACTGTGGGTTGATTGCAGTCATGTGGGCCTGTGGAAGACACAGATCCACGGGTGTGTCAAAGCAGGAGTGACCATGGGGTGGCGCTGTGGCGCAGCAGGTAAAGCCGCCGCCTGCAGGAACAGCATCCGGCGGATCCAGCTCCCTGCTGATGCAACTGGGGAAGCAGCAGAGGATGGCTAAGTGCTTGGGCTCCCACCGCCCATGTGGGAAATGTAGATGAGCTCCTGACTCTCAGCTTTGGCCTGGCCCAGCCCCAGCTGTTGTGGCTATCTGGGGAGCAAAGCAGCAGATGGAAGATTGTTCTCTCTCCTCCTTTCAAATAAAATAAATCTTAAAAAAGGGTGTGGGGGGCTGGAGCTGTGTGTGTGGTAGATTAAGCATCCACCTCTGGTGCTAACATCCCATATGGGCGCTGGTTCAAGTCCCGACTGCTCCACTTCCTATCCAGCTCCCTGCTATGGCCTGGGAAAACAGTGGAGATGGCCCAAGTGTTTGGGCCCTTATACCTGAAAGAAACTTTTGGCTCCTGGCTCCTGGCATGGGATTGGCCCAGCTCCAGCTCTTGTCACCATTTGGGGAGTGAACCAGCAGATGGAAGATCTGTCTCTTCTTCTCTCTGTAACTCTGGGAGGGGAAAACAAACAAACAAACAAACAACAACAACAACAACAACAAAACAACCTGTAGAGACAGCCTTTAAAATAAAATAAAGATACTTTAAAAAAAATTAAATAGCTAGCTCACTGACTACTAGCATTTTGGATTACTGTGCTATATGAATTACACTACTTTAAAATAAAATAAGGGCCAGCGCTGTGGCACAGCAGGTTAATGTCCCGACCAGCAGCTCCAGCATCCCATATGGGCACTGGTTTAAGTCCGGCTGTTCCACTTCCCATCAGCTCCGTGCTGAAGTGCCTGGGAAAGCAGTGGAGGATGGCACCCATGTGGGGGACCCAGAAGCTCCTGAGCAGCTCAGCTCCAGCCATTGTGGCTAGTTAGGGAGTAAACCAGCAGATGGAAAAGATGTAAAAATAAATAAACAAAATAAAAATGTAACCATGTCTTCAAATAAATAAGTTTTTAAGAATAAAACAAGCTGGGGATGTCATCATATACAGGTGTCAGCTTGGGTCCAATAGGGGAATGTAAGGTACCTCCACCTCCCCTCTATAAGCCTTCCTATAGAAAGCCATACAGGAGAATGAGCCAGACATTCTAGTTTCTAAAGTTCGTCTTTTATTTAACAGTATTAGTAGCCCTGCCAAAGCAAGGCCTCAAAAAATTGGGTTAAGACTCAGAATTGTTCCTCTCCACGGAAATCTTTAGTAAAAGGCGAAAGATTTATACGGTCTGAAGAGAAACCAGAGTATAATTGGCAGGGCCTATGACCCACTTGTCATATAATGGCAACTCCTAGTACACTAATGGTTGCTATTTAGCCCAAGGGCTATGACTGCAGAAGTATATATTAGAAGTCCTATAAATAATATTACCAAAATTTTAAAAGTTAACTAAATAAGTAAACAGTGTTATCAAATTCTAAAAAGTTAAGTAAAAAACAAACACTTTTAAGCAAAAAAAAAAAATCCTTTGAACTAGTTGCAATGCATGTTGGGTATGCAAATTATCCTAAATAGTCACCTTTTAGATTCTAGAAATAACTTAGTTGTTCCGGGCCACCTTGAAGGGGGCAAAACAGTGGTTTTCCCCTGAGATGTAAATTCTGTTCTGGTCACCCAGAGATTCCCCTTCTACCTATTTGTACACTGGGGCTCTGTCAGGAAAGGAGCTGCAGATTGGTACCTCCTCACACGGGGCACCATAAATGTTAGACAAAGAGAACAGAATAGAGGAGGCAGCATATGAATTTACAGCCGGACCGCATTTATTCAGAGGAAATAAATTCATAGAGGTGGGTGACCAACTGCCCCTGTGCACATTGACAGAACACGTGGCAGAAGGCCTGACCCCCAGGGGCTGGGTCTTTTAATATTTTAGGAGGTAGGGGCAGGGGGCAGCAGGCGGAGGGGAATTCCTGGAACTGGTCTTTCAGGCGGCCGTGGGGGATGGAGTATGAAGGCAGTAGGGTGTGAGACCCAGTTGAGATATTCAGCGGCAAGGAATACATTCCAATGTTTATCTCTCTTGGGCAATGAGCAAGGTGGCTCAGGCTCATGTCTTTGTTCCATCAGTTTCTTTTAAAATAAAGTTTTGTTTTTTTTTTTAAAGATTGATTTATTTATTTGAGAGGCAGAGTTACAGTGAGAGGAGAGACAGAGGGATCTTCCATCTGCTGGTTCATTCCCAGCTGGCCTTAACAGCCAGAGTTGGACAAGGCCGAAGCCAGGAGCCAGGGAGTTGGTGTTAGGAAACTGGCGCAGTTGTGGCCTGGTGGCCGCACGGCCCAGCTACCTGAGCCAGGCTCCACCCCCATCCTAATGGGATTGGCTGCTCCTGCTTCCCTGCCCGCCCTCAGGCAAAGTTTTAAAAGGGCCTGTTCCTGAACACGTGTTCTCTTGGCCCTTCTCTCCTGCTCTTTCTCGGTTCCTCTCTCTAGCCTCCCCCTCTGGTCTCTTGGCTCTGCTCTCCTCTCTCCTCTTCTCTGCTCTATCTTCTCTCCTTGCTAGCTCCTCTCCTCTGTTTCTCTCTTATACTCTCTTTCTCCCTTTTTCCTTCGCCGCCCCTTCACTCCGGTCTGTAGGGTGTTCCCCAATAAGCCCTTTCCCTTACTCCGGTGTCCGGTGTGCTTTGCAACGGCTAACATTAAGATATAACAGTTGGATCATCTTCCACTACCTTCCCAGATACATTAGCAGGGAGCTGAATCAGAAGTGGAGCAGCTGGGACTTGAACCGGTACCCGTATGAAATGCCAGTGTCTCCAGTCGGGGCTTACTCTGCTATCACAATGCTGGCCCTGCTAATGGGCTATCTTAATTTAGCAATCATAAACTCTAATTTAAATTTTTTTTAATATATTTTCATTTTATTTGAAAGAGAGATCATCCAACAGCTGGGCCACTCCCCAAATGCCTGGTTAGCCATGGCCAGGCTGGCAGCTTTGGGACCCACAAGGAGAGAAGGCCCACACCTTCGGGAATGGAGCGTCCCTACCCGCACTTCCCGGAACCAAAAGTCCTTGTCAAGGTCCCCGCTGGTGCCTAAAGGTCAACCAATGAGGATCAGACCTGCCTCAACCTTTAACCCCCATGCGCTGTATCTATAAAAGGAGCCCTCCCAACCTCTGATGAGCAGCTTCCCCAGCCCCTGCTCTGTTGGGACCAGAGAACCTCGCCCGAGAGCGGAATTCCAATAAAAGCTTGTGAATTAATTGATTCATCTGACTGGGAAGATTTGTTGTGTGCTGGACACCTGTCTGTTCCTTGACATCCCCTCAGGGAAAGCTAAAGCCCCAGATACCCACTCACCAGATGAGAGGCCACCTTCCCGGTAAGACTGGCAAACGGCCCCCTCACAAACGCTTACGGTATATTCTAACCATGGTGGACACATTTTCCGGTTGGATAGAGGCCTTCCCTACGACTGCAGAAACGGCAGCCGTGCTAGCTGATATCTCAGTACTACACATCATCCCACGATTTGGGCTGCCTACCTCTATCCAGTCGGACATGGGCCAGCCTTTGTAACACGGGTGGTACAACAACTTATACAAGCCCTCGGCACCACCGGGAGGTTACACGTCCCATACTGCCCCGCATCCTCAGGTAAAGTCGAAAAGGCAGAATGGCGTGCTAAAAGACCAGCTTACTATACTCTCCAACCAACTTCAGATGGGATGGCCGCAGCTACGCCCGCTGGCCCTCACCAGGCTCCGTGCCGCTCCGCGCAAGCCCCTGGGACTTAGCCCATTCAAGCTCAAGCATGGAAGACCGTTCCTTCTCAACCATAACCTGCCAGTCCACACCCTGCCGTTGGCCCCTTACCTCCCCTACTTCACCTTGCTTCATTTACTTCTCAGGGAGCACACTGACTGACGTCTCCCATCCCTACCTGCTCATCACCCGCTGGTCCAGAGGTCCTGCCTCTCCAGCCGGGGGACTCCGTCCTACTCTGATCCTCCCAGCGCCAGCCACTCCATCCCCGTTGGACAGGACCCCACGTCGTAATTCTCACCACTCCAACTGCAGCCAAACTACTGGGTCATGAAAACTGGTATCATATATCTCGCCTCAAGAGGGCACCTTCCCCTCCCCCAGGGCCGCCGTCATCCTGGACAGCCACTGCTCTGGGGCCTAGCAAGCTCAAGTTTGTCCGTAATCCTAGTCCTCCTGGTCCTACCCCTGCCTGATTCCTAAGATCCTGGTCTCGGCTCAGTCCCTGCCCACACGTTCGTGCTCCTCCCGCCTATCTTACTTTCCAGCCACGTGCTATGAGAGAACATCACCACAATTCCGATGTTCCTTCTCTGGATTACCAGCAATCCAGGGAACTGTCCGCCAGGGTGGAGTTCACAGACGTGACTGCTTTGGCCAACCCCCCGGATCAAAGGTCTGTATGACACCGACCACTCACTGGGGCTATAGGGACGAGAGAGGGCACCAGGACTTTAATCGATGACAGGAGGTTGCCAGGGTTAAGGAGGTGCTCAAGGACCTGGGAGAAAGCTTGTCACCAATAACCACTCAAGGACCTGGGAGAAAACTTGTTACAAATAACCACTCAGTGGTGACCCTTGCCGCTTCTCCCATGGAGACCCAACCCACCCCACCTCCCACGCCCTGACTGGCTGTTATATATCTCTTCTGTCTACCAGCTCCTCAACTCTTCTGAGAGCTCTCTGGCTGATGGTGGCTGGATTTGTTCCACCCTGTAGCTTCCTTTACAACTATTGAAGTCCTGACAAATTCTACTCCTGGACCCACCAATGAGACAACTTTTCCCTTACTTACTAATCTCCCTCACCCAAAAAACCTACACCAGTGCTTCAATCTAACCTCGTCATTATCTCCTGACCCACTATCCCCCAACGCTTTTTTCAACTCCACTCTCTGTAATTCCATGACCCCTGTAAAGCCGGGAGATTGCTTGACTAGAGGTCACTTCCTCCAGTGTGGGAGTTCCCTATTCTGCTGTCCACCGCCTAATGCAGCTGACATCTGTATTCCTGCAATTGTCCTCCCAGAGGTCTCCGAGGTGCCCCAAAACCAGTCTCTCCCGATGCTGGTGCTGCAAAACACCCGTGCTAGAAGGGACATAATTATCCTTCCCTGTCTAGCGGCACTAGGTGTCCTAGCGGGAGTGGGGACAGGAGTAGCTAGCCTGGCAATAGTGCTACCCAGATACAGCAACTGGCAAACTACAGTATAGTAAACTGGCTACAAAATGTTGCAGCCTCCATTTTAAAACTGCAAGACCAGAGTGACTCCCTGGCTGATGTGGCCCTTCAAAACAGAAGGGCATTAGACCGCCTACTAGCAGAAAAAGGGGGAACATACGTATTTCTGGGGGAACAGTGCTGCTTTTTTACTGACAAATCTGGAGTGGCCAGAAACATGGCACAAGAACTTAAGCAACCCATTGCCAAACGACAGCAGGAGTGCCAGGGACAACAAGGATAGGATCTATTTTCCTCTTTTCTCCCTTGGGTACTCCCAACCCTGGGACCCATAATAACTGTAGGGATAATTGCAATGATCGCTCCTTATGCTCTCAGGCTCATAAAGATCGAATCCATCATTTTATTTGAAAGTCAGAGAGAGAGATCATCCAACAGCTGGGCCACACCCAAATGCCTATCATAGCCATGGCCAGGCCAGGTTGGAGCCAGAGGCCAAAACTCAACCCGGGTCCCCCATGTGGATGGCAGAGGCCCAAGTACTTGCTGCCTCCTAATGCAGGCACAAGCAGGCAGCTGGATTGGAAGTAGAGTAGTTCAGGATGTGAACCTGAAGTAGGCAGGCATACAGGTTAAAATCGGTTAGGTTTGTGAGCTGGAAGACCACGCCTTCACCATGCCCCTGTGGGACCTCATGCCCCTACCTGGCCACACCTGAGTGCCCACCGGCCAATCACGTTAATTAACCATTCCCCTTTGGAAGTGGGTTAAAAGCCTGGCCTTTTCCTATCCTTGGCCTCCAGCCAGGAGGGGGCTGGCTGTAGCCCTGCGCCTCCAGGGCACATGGCCTTTGGGCCACCCGCCCTAGGCTTCCTGGCCTAGATGCTCTTCCACATGGCTGGTTCCTGGTACTCAGTATGAACCTAGATCTACCTCTCTCCTATAGATAAAGTTCTCACTCTCCTATGCATCTTTCTCACCAAATAAAAGCGTGAAATGTACCATGCTGCCTCGTTTATTTATGCCGGTATTTAGAATTCTCTAAATATTAGGCAAGAACCCTTTTGGGCTTATTAACATTGGGGATTTATTAATAAGCATATGGTGATATCATTTGGCATCCCAAATTCCGGTAACATTTGTGGCACCCCAGATGGCATTTCTGGGGAACTTTAAGGGGCCACATTTTTGTATATATTTTAGGGGGTTATTTCTGATATCAAATCAAATACTCTGATACAAGGTGCAGGCATTCGAAGTGGTGCTTTGCCGCTGAGCCAAACACCTGCCCTGCCTTTAAAAAAAAAAATTTAACTAATTTCATTTGAAAGTCAGAAAGACAGAGATGGAGACAGATCATCCAACTGCTAGTTCACTTCTCAAATTCCCACAAGAGCCAGAGCTGGTCAAGATGAAGCCAGAAGCCTGGAGTTCAATCCAGGTCTTCAGGTGGGTGGCAGGGACCTAAGTACTTGAGCCACTGATGTAAGCAGGGAGGCAGCCAGCAAGGAGTTGAGGTCCCAGCCTCCGCCATGCAGCCCCAGCTGCACTGCCCAACCCATGCTTCCAGGAAAGCTGCTGCTTGCAGAGGCTTTGCCACTTGGAAATGGTACCAGCTAAAAACATGGCTGCCAGATGCATCCCTGTAATGAACTTTAGCTAATTATAAGGTCAACGTAGCGGCTGGTGCTGTGGCGTCGCGGGTAAAGCTACCGCCTGCAATGCTGGCATCCCTCACGGCTGCCAGTTCGAGTTCTGGCCGCTCCACTTTGGATCCAGCTCTCTGGAAGATCTCTCTCTCTCTCTCTCTGTAACTCTGCCTTTCAAATAAATAAATCTTTTTTAAAAAGTCAATGTGGCCGGCGCTGCGGCTCACTAGGCTAATCCTCCACCTTGCGGCGCCAGCACACCGGGTTCTAGTTCCGGTCGGGGTGCTGGATTCTGTCCTGGTTGCCCCTCTTCCAGGCCAGCTCTCTGCTGTGGCCAGGGAGTGCAGTGGAGGATGGCCCAAGTACTTGGGCCCTGCACCTGCATGGGAGATCAGGATAAGTACCTGGATCCTGCCATTGGATCAGCGTGGTGCGCCGGCCACAGCGCGCTGGCCGATGCGGCCATTGGGGGGTGAACCAACAGCAAAGGAAGACCTTTCTCTCTGTCTCTCTCTCTCTCACTGTCCACTCTGCCTGTCAATTAAAAAAGAAAAAAAAAGTCAATGTAATAAAATCACAGTGCTGACACACCTGCTCCCATCATGCACCTGACACCATGACACTTCTGAGATTTCCAAAAGGGCCAGGAAATGGGCAGCGCTCAAGCCCAGACCCCGAACTCCACCCTCTGTGAATATTCAATTAAGCCTCACCCAAGACACCACCTCCTGTGCCTGCAGAGCACAGAGATGGCCCTGACCTCACTTGGGCACGCCCACACTCATGTCCTGTGTACGTGCACACCTGCTGCTTCCTGGAGAAGCCTGAGGAGCTGCCATAGAACCAGGAATATCACCAGAGACAGGCTTCTTTCCTTCCCGTGTCTTATACTTGTATTGCCTGTTTTCAGTGTTTCAGTGAACTGGTAGAATTGAACTGAGTGGCCACAGTCAGCATCTTTCTCTTGCTTCTATCACAACTCCTGTGACCACCATTAAGTGTGAAGTCTGCTGTACACAGTGTTAGGGGACACAGGGATCCATGCACTCGGGTGTTGCCAAGTACTGAGCCTCAGCCTCGCGCTGCTCAGAGGAAAGCTGTGTTGACTCGCAGTGAGCAAAGCAGACGGTGGAGAGGTACGGTTCCCCGAGGAATCTGTCTCCCTGAGAAGCAGGTTTCTAGGGCTTTTACAGCAAGAGCTACAGGAAGTGAAAAGGGGGAGCGGGATCCTGCTTGCAACGCACATCCTTATACATTGTGTGTTCCGACAACTCACTCAGGGTCTTGCAAAGTCACCCAGCATTCCATATTGGAGCTTCCTGCTAATGTGCCTGGGAAGGCAGTAGATGTTGGCTCACTACTTGGGCCCCTGCCACCCACATCGGAGACTAGGGTGGAGTTCCTCCTGGCTTTGGCCTGGCCCAGTTCTGGCTGTTGCAGCATTTGGAGAATGAATCAGTAGATAGGAGATCTCTCTCCCTCTCTGTCACTCTGCATTTCAAACACATTTTTAAAACTTGAAGAAGAAGGAGAAGGAGAAGGAGAAGGAGAAGGAGAAGGAGAAGGAGAAGGAGAAGAAAGAGGAGAAGGAAGAACATACTCAATGGAAAAGCATTTAAAAGAATTCTTGGCCGGCGTCGTGGCTCAATAGGCTAATCCTCCACCTTGCGGCGCCGGCACATCGGGTTCTAGTCCCGGTCAGGGCGCCAGATTCTGTCCCAGTTGCCCCTCTTCCAGGCCAGCTCTCTGCTGTGGCCAAGGAGTGCAGTGGAGGATGGCCCAAGTGCTTGGGCCCTGCACCTGCATGGGAGACCAGGAGAAGTACCTGGCTCCTGCCATCGGATCAGCGCGGTGTGCCGGCCGCGGCGGCCATTGGAGGGTGAACCAACGGCAAAGGAAGACCTTTCTCTCTGTCTCTCTCTCTCACTGTCCACTCTGCCCATCAAAAATTAAAAAAAAAAAATTAAAAAAAGAAAAAAAGAATTCTTGAGGGGCTGGCGCTGTGGAGTAGCAAGTAAAAGCCTCCACCTGTAGTGCCGGCATCCCATATGGGCGCTAGTTTGAGTCAGGCTGCTCCACTTCCCATCCAGCTCCCTGCTGTGGCCTGGGAAAGCCATGGAAGATGGCTCAAGGCCTTGGGCCCCTGCACCCATATGGGAGACCTGGGTAAGTCAGTGGAGAATGGCCCAAGTGTTTGGGTCCCCTGTACTCACGTGGGAGACCTGGAAGAAGCTCCTGGCTTCTGCCTGGCCCAGCCCCCACCATTGCACTAGCAAATAGAAGATAGCTCTGTCAGTTCTCTCCAGGAAGCTTTCAGGTATAAATAAGTGCTGAGCCAGGTTGAAGCCAGGAGCTTCTTCAGGGTCTCCCATAAGGGTGCAGGGGCCCAAGTACTTGGCACATCTTATGCTGCTTTCCCAGGCACATTAGCAGGGAGCTGGATCAGAAATGGAGCAGCCAGGACCGGAACCAGCATCCTCATGGGATGCCGGCACCACAGACAGCAGCCTCACCCAGTGCACCATATAGTGCCCCAAATACATAAATCTTTTATTTTTATTTATTATTATTTTTTTTTATTTTTTGACAGGCAGAGTGGACAGTGAGAGAGAGAGACAGAGAGAAAGGTCTTCCTTTGCCATTGGTTCACTCTCCAATGGCCGCTGCGGTTGGCGCGCTGCGGCCAGCGCACCACGCTGATCCGATGGCAGGAGCCAGGTACTTACCCTGGTCTCCCATGGCATGCAGGGCCCAAGTACTTGGGCCATCCTCCACTGCACTCCCTGGCCACAGCAGAGAGCTGGCCTGGAAGAGGGGCAACCGGGACAGAATCCGGCGCCCCGACCGGGACTAGAACCCGGTGTGCCGGCGCCGCAAGGCGGAGGATTAGCCTAGTGAGCCGAGGCGCCGGCCTAAATACATAAATCTTAACATAAATATTTATTTATTTGAATGAGAGAGGGAAGACACAAAGATCTCATCTGGTGGTTCACTCCCAAATGGCCGCAATGACAGGGGCGAGGCCTGGGTGAAACCAGGGGCCTGGACTCCTCCAGGTCTCCCACATGTGTGGCAGGGCCCCAAGGACTTGAGGCTACCTTTCCCTGCCTTCCCAGGCGCATTAGCAGGGTGGAGCCGGCAGGACTCTAACCAGAGCTTCGATATGGGCTACCAGGCATCGCAGAGGACATCTCTACCCGCTGAGGTACTATGCCAGACTCAGGAATTCTTTAATTTTTAAAAAAGACTTACTTTGAAAAGTAGAAGTTACAGAGAAGGCAGAGCGAAAGTCTTTCGGAGCTGTACTGATCCGAAACCAGGAGCTTCCTTCAGGTCTCTCACTCGGGTGCAGGAGCCCAAGGAGTTGGGTAATCCTCTGTTGTTCTCGAAAGCTACAGCGGAGCAGCAGAGAAGCTGGGTCGGAAGTGGAACAGCCTGCAGGCCGCAGCACCCGACAACTCAAATACCCCCAAGAATTCGGGAAAAAGCACTTAACTAACTGACTGTTTAATGCAATTAACTGTGGTGCCTAGAAGGCAGTTTCATACTACAAGCGCCACCTACCTGTAAGTTACACACCACATAGTAATACCCAAGTAATGCTAACACCTACTCGGTGGCTTAGTCAGACAATTATAACAAGTTCTTTTTTTCCAACCGCATAAAATAGCCTTGCCAAAACAAGGCCTCAAAAAATTAAGTAAAGACTCAGAATTGTTCCTCTCCACGGAAATCTTTAGTAAAAGGCGAAAGATTTATACGATCTGAAGAGAAACCAGAGTATGCACTACAACCCCGTAACGCACTCCTCGGGTACCGGGAACTCCTAGTTCATCGAGGATGACCACCTGCCGGCAAGCTCTTGTGGGAAAACATAAAGTTGTCCATGTCACTTTTAATGCTAGGCTCTAATTTCTACAGAATATTCTTGGAATAACTTTAAATCTTGCCCTTTCAAGCGCGCTCTCGTGCAATGCACTGTGGGTATGCAAACGAGCCGCGGCCCCGCCCCGTCTGCTCGGGAGCCGCGCCTTCCCGCAGTGCCGCTCGCCGCCTGCAGGGCGCGCGCGGGAGGCCGCGGCGAGACTCGAGTCCGCCCCGCATCCGAAGTCTGAGTTTGCCTTCTTCATGAAGACCGCTCTTGATTGACAAAGACAAATGAGCAAATAAGCGATTGGCCCAGAACCCAGGCTGAGTCTTTTGCTAACAGGTCCCGGGGAGACCAGACCCCGTCCTGTGCAGGCGCGACCCGGCCCCTCGTCCGCCTCCTGCAGCGCGGCGTGTCCCTGCCGGTGCTGGAGCAGGAGCGCACGGTGACGAGGCTCAGAACTCTGCCGGCCGCGTTGTCCAGGGGGCTCTGTGGAGGGGGCTCCCAGGTCCGGCGAAGGAAACTGGTACTTCCATGGAAGCCCCGGGCCCAGCTGGAGCCCGCCCGGCCACCACACAGTTCCCCCAGGGCCGGCGGGGCTGGGTTCGGGGGTTCTCCAGCGGCACCCCCGGCTGGTTGGGGCGCTGGCCAGGCCGCAGTGAGAAGACGCCCTCAGCTATTGGGAGGCCCAGCGTCGTGTCGCTGGGCGCGCTGGGGAGACGCAGGCGGCCACCCCCGTGGGAGACCCGCCGGAGTTCCGCACTTGGTGCTGGGGAAGTGAGCCGGGTGGGAAGTGTACAATTGAGTGGGATTTTAGGGTATTCACAGAGCTGTGAAATCCTCACCACAGCTGACTTCGGAATCTCTCGTCTTCCCCTCACCCAGACAACTGTGCCCAGGCCAGCATCCCTTCCGCCTGTCTGGACATGTCACACAAGGGGCGCTTGCGGCAGGTGGCCCGGTGCGCTGGCTGCAAGGGTTCTCCACGCTGTTTGGTGCTCTTTTGCTGCCTTGCTGTATTTCACAGTGTTTGGGACCTGGGAGACCCACAGCGACACAAAGTCCTCCCCCCCACCCCCACCCCAGGGCTTGGCTAGGAGTTAAGGGCTGGCAGGGGTGGGGACCTTTTTTCTGCCAACAGCCATTTGGATAATTATAGCAACAGACACAAGCCATACACAGTTATCAGCTTAAAGGTTCGCTTCCCACAGGGGCCAGTGTCGCCACACAGCAGGATAAGCCACGAGCAATTCTGGCATCCCATATGAACGCCAGGCTCAGGTTCGAGTCCTGACTGTTCCACTTCCCACCCAGCAACCTGGGCTTGGCCCAGCCCCGGCCATAGTCATTTGGGGACTGAATCTTTGGCAGCACCAGAACAAATGACTATATGACCCTTACATGGCCCAGGGTCCGGCATTGCCCAGCTCTGGAGGGACAGGAAGGGGGGTGTCTCAGTCCTCTGCACTCTCTTCCTCTGGGATGGGGAGTGTTTGCATGCTCGGGGTCTCTGGGGGTCTCTCACGGCTTCACTCTGAACCGGCCCTGGGCAGCTTTCACTGCTTAACCCGCTGTGCTCCAGTGCCCCTGAGACTACTAAATGGCTTTGTCCCAGCCACCTCTGAGGCCATCCCATGGGGCTGGGGGTCTGTGGGCCCCTCGGACGTGGGCAGAATGTCCTTCCCAAGCAGGCTGCCAGCTGTGGGCGGAGAGCTTGTTTCCAGGCCCGTGGGCATCTCCCGCGCAGCTTCGTGTGCTGCACGGGTGACCTTGTGGTCTTAAACCATGCCTTCTAGTTAGTTGCAATCTTCCACCCAGAGCTAGCAGAGGAGGGAACTGAGCCCCTAAGGAGAATTGGGCTGTCTCCAAGAGAAGCCTGCTATCTCCATGAGCTCCAAGCCAATCAGCAAACATATGTGAAACCCCATCCAACAGGGACCCCCACAGAATGACCCAATGAAAAGACAGTAATGCCTCAAAAACGCTGGGCACTTCCTGAGAGCGAGAATCCTGATAGAGCGCTCCACCTGGTCTCCTCTCGAACCAGACGCTTTAGTGCCGCTTGTCAATCACATAAAAGTTTCTGCTTCTTTGCAAATCGTTTCCCGGCTTTTTATTTCTGTACGAAGCCTCCCCTCGGCAACCAGCTTTTCAAGGTACTATTATTTATTTATTTATTTTTCAGGATGCCTCACATATTTATTACGGAACCAACCCACTAGTCCCCAAACATGTTGAGCCGTCGCGACAGGGGTGCCATCTCCAGCTGGCTGTGGTGGGGAAGGGAGTGACCAGGATCCAGCACACACATTCAAGTGCACTTCCTCACCGACCCAGCATGGTTTTCCCCAGTCTCATGGAGTGAGACCTGATTTTGTTAACCAGTTTTCATCAGAACCCACTGGGGACTGGGACGATTGTTTTTGGATTTTTGGCCAGGAATCTCTCGATCCTGCAGGCTTAGGCGAGCGAGAAGAGTTGGGAACACTCACCACGGTGGCGGAGGGAAGGAGAAGGCTCTTTATTTATTTTTCAAAAATAATTTTCATTGTGCTCTCTTACAGTGGTAATCTACATTAAAAGATTCACAACAAATCACTCATGCCTGGTCTTTTTTAAAAAATGATTTATTTTTATTTATTTACAAGTAAGAGTTACAGACAGAGAGGTTGGTCTTTCATCCACTGGTCCACTCCGGAAATGGCCACAATGGTCAGTGCTGGGCCAGGCCGAAGCCAGGAGCCAGAAGCCTCATCCTGGTCTCCCCCATGGGAGTGCAGGGGCCCAAGCACTTGAGTCATCTTCTGCTGCTTTTCCCAGGCCATAGCAGAGAGCTGGCTCTGCAGTGGGTGCCCACATGGGACGCTGGCGCGTTAGCAGTGAGCTGGATCTGAGGTGGGCACCCACATGGGACGCTGGTGCTGCAGGTGGCAGCTTTTCCTGCTGCACCCCAACACCAGCCCTTCGTGCCTACTCTGTAGACTGTCCCCTGGTTTTGTCTGTTGTGGCTGGATCCCAGAGCCACAGCTGCAGGAGAGAGATCTGAGTGCTGAAGCAGCATTCTGCTCTGCTGGGGAGCGGTGTAAACCAGTCCTCAAAGACTGTTCCTGCTCCCAGAATGACTTGCTGTCTGTTGCAGCCTCTATGCTGGCCACAAGGAGGCGCTGCTTCTCTTTCGTGCTCCGTTCCAGCCACAAGACCACCTGTTCAGGTCATGCAGGCAAATGCGTTGTTCTCTCAGTCCTAAAAGAGTTTTGAAAACTTATCTCCCTCTGGAAAATTAAAAAAAAAAAAAAAAAGCCGGCGCCGCGGCTCAATAGGCTAATCCTCCGCCTGCGGCGCCGGCACACCGGGTTCTAGCCCTGGTCGGGGTGCCGGATTCTGTCTCAGTTGCTCCTCTTCCAGTCCAGCTCTCTGCTGTGGCCCGGGAGTGCAGTGGAGGATGGCCCAGGTCCTTGGGCCCTGCACCCCATGGGAGACCAGGAGAAGCACCTGACTCCTGGCTTCCGATCAGCGCAGCGAGCCAGCCACAGCGGCCATTGAGGGGTGAACCAACGGAAAAAGGAAGACCTTTCTCTCTGTCTCTCTCTCTCACTGTCCACTCTGCCTGTCAAAAAAAAAAAAAAAAAAAAAAAAAAAAAAAAGGGAAATAAAATCGGGGCCGACGCTGTGGCTAGCGGGTAAAGCCACCACTTGTGATGCCGGCATCCCATATGTGTGCTGGTTTGAGCCCTGGCCCCTGGCTCCTGGCTTCTAGCTTCAGTCTGGTACAGTGCAGGCTTTTGCAGACAGAGAGAGTTTCTTTCATCACTCCCCAAATGGCTGCAGCGGCCGGAGCTGGGCTGATCTGAAGCCAGGAGCTTCTTCCAGGTCTCCTACATAGGTGCAGGGGCCCAAGCACTTGGGCCATCTTCTGCTGCTTCTCCAGGCGTATTAGAAAGGAGCTGAATCAGAAGTGGAGCATCCAGGACATGAAACAGCGGCTTAGCCTACTATGCCACAGCACCAGTCTAATAAATAAACATTTTTAAAAAATCGTATCTACAGGGACATTTCCCATCCAGCACCCTGCTTATGCTCCTGGGAACACAGCTTACCACCCACATAGCAGACACAGATGGAGCTCTAGCTTCAGCCCGAGATGGCTGTTATGGCCATTTCTAGTGGTAGATCACTTTCTCTGTGTCGCTCTGCCCTTACCCAGTCCTGCTTTTTATCTTTATGTACATGCTTGTTAGTAGCTATTGACACAACTCTGTTGAGAATTCTCAGGTGAGCAGCTGGGACAGCACATGGGCAGGGCCGCCCTGCTCACCAGCTCTATCACTTAACCAGAAGCCTGAACCAGAGCAAGACCCCAAGAAGTTTGTTTAAACATTCACAACTGTATCCCTCTACGGAAACCTTTAGTAAAAGGTGAAAGGTTTATGCATTTTGAAAATCAACTAGAGCGTGGCCATTAGGGCTTATAATTTGTTCCTTGTGTGACTGCAACTCCTATTTCTCAAATGATGGGTACTTAGCCCAAGGAATAACGCTTACATCATTATATCTAAGAATACTGTAAGTAATGGTAGCAATTTTTTTTTTTTTTTTTGTACAGGCATAGTTAGACAGTGAGAGAGAGAGACAGAGAGAAAGGTCTTCTTTTTTCCGTTGGTTCACCCCCCAAGTGGCCGCTACGGCTGGCACTACGCTGATCCGAAGCCAGGAGCCAGGTGCTTCTCCAGGTCTCCCATGCGGGTGCAGGGCCCAAGCACTTGGGCCATCCTCCACTGCACTCCCTGGCCACAGCAGAGAACTGGACTGGAAGAGGGGCAGCCGGGACAGAATCCAGCGCCCCAACCGGGTCTAGAACCCGGTGTGCCAGCGCCACAGGCGGAGGATTAGCCTAGTGAGCCGCGGCACCAGCCAGCAAATTTTAAAAATTCAAATAATACATTTATTTTTACATGAAAACACTTGAACTAGTTGCAATGCATTGTGGGTATGCAAATGAGCCTGTCTATTTGCCCTTTAGACTCTGGAAATACCTTGGTTCTTTGGGGCCACATTACTGGGGTGAAGTGGAGGTGTTCTCCTCTGGGACTTAAACTCCCTTCTGGTCACCTGGAGGCTTTCCCATTTTACCTGTTGGTACATTGGGATTTTGATTATGATTTATTTAAAAAAGGGGCTTTTCAATGGATGGAAGATCTCTCTCTCTCCCTCTTTCTCTGTAACTCTGCCTTTCAAATATATATGTACATATATATATATTTGAAGACTTATTTATTTGAGAGAGTTATAGAAAGAGAGAGGGAGGGAGAGAGAGAGAGAGGTCTTCCATCCGCTGGTTCTCTCCAAATGGCTGCAAGGGCTGAAACTGAGCTGATCCGAGGCCAGGAGCTTCTTCTGGGTCTCCCACATGGGTATAGGAGCCCAAGCATTTGAGCCATCTTCCACTGCTTTCCCAGGCCATAAGCAGAGAGCTGGATCAGAAGTGGAGCATCCGGGACACAAACTGGCACCCATATGGGATGCTGGTGCCACAGGTGGAGGCTTAGTCTACTATACCACAGCACCAGCTCTGATAAATAAATGTTTTTAAAAAACATATTTAAACTTAAGAAAAAAACTTTTGATTTAATTTGTATCATAGCTTCATCATATATTATATATTCATGTCTTTCAAAATAGTTTTATAATTTTAAAGATTTTTTGTTAGATTTATTTTACTCCTAATATATTACAGTATGTGTGGCTGGTACAGATTTCCAAAGTTAGAATTTATTTGAAAGACAGAGAGAGACAGGGATCTTCTATCTCTGGTTTACTCCCCAAATGTCTACATAGGCCAGACCAAAGCCAGGAGCCAAGAACTCCATTCAGGCTTCCCAAGTGGGTGACAGGGACCCAGGAACTTGGACATCACCTCTGCCTCCCAGGTGCACACCAGCAGGAAGCTGGCTCAGAAGCTGGGACTTGAACCAGGAACTCCAGTGTGGGATGTGGGGTCCTAGGAGGTACTTAAGCTGCTGTGCCAAATGCCTGCCCCATTAAAAATTTTTTTAAAAATTTATTTTCATTTTATTTGCAAAGCAGAGAGACAGAGATAGATGGAGAGAGACCTAGTTGCTGGTTCACTCCCTGAATGCCCACAATAGCCAGGGCTGACCAGGCTAAAGCCCGCAGGTGGGATCTCCATCCGCATTTCACGTGGGCAGCACGGGACCCAAGTACTTGAGCCACTAATGCGGCCAGGGAAGTCACTAACCTCTCCAGGTCACCAGCCTCACCGTCACCCCTTTTGGGCAGTGGGAAACAGAAGCTTCCAGTGGTTTCACCGCTTAGAATCAATACCATCAGGCCCCCTACCTTGGCTTAGAGTCCCTGCCTGTCTTTGGGTAGCACTAAAATTAACTCACTGAGTTGGGGGAGTGGTGGTGAAGCCAGCTTGTCGCTCCCCCATTCGAAGAGGAACGACACAGGACCCTGCGCTGTTTTTTTGTCTGCTCGGCCCTTCCCGGGTTAGCTGCTGGTCCCTCACTCGCGGAGGAACAACGCCGTCCGTCCCGGGTTAGCTGCCGGCCCTTCCACCTCCGTGGAGGGGCGGCACCCCCCGCCGCTTTCCCTGCTTCCGCGGAGGAGCGGCACACCGCCGGCTGGCCGGCCGGCTCTCTCGGGGGCTGCTCAGATGTTCCTCAGGTGTTCCCCCAGATGTTCCTGGTGCATGGTGTGTCTCTCCTTTATAGTCCTCTTCCACCAATCCCAACTCTGCTACCCACACGCCGAGCACGCTGCTCTCCTCCAATCAGGAGCAGCTCCTGCAGCTTATCAGTCAAACTGGCGAGAGGCAGCTGCGTAGAAGTTGTTTGGTCTCTCTCTCAGTGCCATATTGTGGGAGAGCAGATGCATAAAATAAGTCTTAATTCCAGTAACTTAGTCTAGTCTCAGTTGCTCCCCACACCAGCTGTGGGAGGTATCCTCGCCTGCCCATTCAAGATGGCCGCAGACTTAGGAAGTGCAGCCAAAGCGAGACTTTATTATTGGCCTTGCGAGGTCGGTGTCCGTGAGCAGACACACCGGGAGCAGTTACAGCAAGCGGCTTCCACCCTAGCACGCAGGTCCCCCCTGGCTGTGTACTGCGGGGGTACAATCTTCCTGGACATTGCCCAGGTTACTAAGATACCTTCCTCCTTCCCTCTGTGTCCTTCGATTTCCTCTTGGCTACTCCCTAGCATCCTGTTTGCCTGGTTCAGTTTTGCTGCATCTGCAAGTCAGCTATCTAACTTTCCATTTAAACCTTTTTATTAATGAAGAGAACAGATTTCACATATTTCATAGGTAGTTCTAGGAAGATAACCGTCCCCCTTTCCCTCCTTCAATCTCCTTCCTTCCTTCCTTTTTTTTCCCTTTAATTTTTGCAAAAACATACTCTAATCCACTCAATAATCACGGGTGTAATTCATCACCAACCATAATATTCAACAGGTAAGAAGTAGGAACACCAGAAATCCACAGGACCATTCTGTGTTGAAAATGGACAAGCAGACATGTTCTTACAAATCCGACCTCTTTATTTATTTATTTATAAACTTCAGGCTTTTTAAAAAATATTTATTTATTTAGTTGAGAGGCAGAGTTACAGAGAAGCAGAGGCAGAGAGAGAGAGAGAGAGAGAGAGGTCTTCCATCCACTGGTTCACTCCCCAGATGGCTGTGATGGCCAGACTGCACTGATCCAAAGCCAGGAGCCAGGAGCTTTTTCCAGGTTTTCCATGCAGGTGCAGGGGCCCAAGGACACGGGCCATCCTCCTCTGCTTTCCCAGGCCATAGCAGAGAGCTGGATTGGGAATGGAGCAGCCGGGACTTGAACTGGCGCCCATATGGGATGCTGGCACTGCAGGTGGCGGCTTTACCTGCTACACCACAGCGCGGGCCCCCGTCCTCTTTATTTTTACACTCTTTGGTCCCATTTCCAGTTTTATTTTTGTTCTCAAATTGTTATCCTCCCATTTTCCGAAGGACCCTCTAGCCAACCTGTAAGTAAGTGGTCATCAATTCCAGCATTTGAAAATCACACCTGAAATCCCTGGAGTGACAGCATGGAGCTGACCAGCCTGGCCCTGTGGGGCGTCCCGAGCACATCAGGTACCCATATTCAGTGTCCTTTCCCACTTTCCCCCGCCAGCAGCCCATCCCACCTCCCCCAGCCAAATTCCACAGCCTCAGTCAGGGTAGGGGATGCGCAGAGGGAGGGGCTGGAATTCTTTTTAGAGTCACTTTCAAGGGTCCTTTAGACTCACACACTTCCCACTGGTCCCCTTGGCTTTGTCCCAGTCCTTTAACCTGAGTATAATGAGTCCACCCTTTCTCTACTGTTTGCACGGCTGTCTCAGTGGTCAGGAGCACCTGGTAGGGGCCCTCCCAGCACGGCTGCAGTCTGTCTTCCTTCGAGGTCTTTATCAGCACCAGGTCGCCGGGCTCAAAGTGGTGAACCAGGAACTCGAGAGGTGGAGGCTGGGCAAGGAGTCCTTTGAACCTTGGGGATGATAAAGCAGAGGATGAGGCTGGTACACAGCTCCTTGGACACTGATGCTTGGTTTCCAGGGTAGGGAGGGTGCAGTCCTACCCAAGGGAGCCCAGATAGCAGTTCCCAGGGGGACAGTGCCACCTCCCTTCTCAGAGCCGCTCTAATCCTAAGGAGTGCTACTGGGAAGCATTTGGTCCGAGGTAGCTTAGTTTCCAAGGATAGTTGAGCCACCTGCTTTTCAGGTGTTTAGTCATCTTTCTCCCTTTCCTGCAGAGAAAGGATGCCGGGGAAGGTGGTAGTCCCAGTTAACCAAGCTTTCCCATAAGCCCCTTCAGTGTCATTGATGTAAAGTGACTTCTGTTGTCTGAATCAACATTCTCTATGAGGCCAAATCCAGGTATAATTTGTTCTAAAATGATTTTGATGACATTTCCAGTGGAGGCGGGTTGTGAGTGAGAAAGCTCCCACACAGCCGGAAGAATGATGTACAATCCTGGGCTCCCCACCTGAGGCATTTCTGTAGTACACCAGAACACTGAAATGGCCCGCACCCAGGAGGCCTTCCTCCTGCCGTGTGTTTTCTAATTACCTTCTTATTTATCCTCTGACATGTTACACAACCTCCATACACCTGCTTAGCCACGGTGTAGACGCCCACACTCCCACAGTCTCCACATGTTGCATCACACACAGCCTGGGGACGCCACTGGCTCCCTTTCTGCAGCACGCACATCGGTCCCCTCGATATGGGTTTACGTATTTCCCAGTTCTGGGTGGTTCCTCTCTTTCCTCTGTAGTGCACTAGGGATGTGCGGGATTAGATTGAATGATTTTTTTAAAAAAGATTTATTTATTTATTTGAAGGTCAGAGTTACACACACACACACACACACACACACAGAGTGCGTGTGAGAGAGAGAGGTCTTCCATCCGATGGTTCACTCCCCTATTGGCCACAATGGCCGGGGCTGTGCCAATCCGAAGGCAGTAGCCAGGAACCTCCTCTGGGTCTCCCAGGAGGGCGCAGGGGCCCAAGGACTTGGACCATCTTCCACTGCCCTCCCAGGCCATAGCAGAGAGCCGGATCGGAAGTGGAGCAGCCGGGACTCGAACCAGAGCCCATATGGGATGCCAGTGCTTCAGGCCAGAGCGTTAACCTGCTGCACCACAGCGCTGGTCCCAGATTGAATGATTTAATTCCTTCTTCTAGGGAGCTTTGCTTAGCAGCTTCCTGTGCAACCCTGTTTCCTATACCTTCCATAGACTTTCCCTTTGATGGCCATTTACCGGAACTACAGCCACTTCTGCAGGAAGTAAGAGGTTTCTAGAACTTGTGTTGCTAATTCTCCACGTGCAGTTCCTTTCCTCTACTATTTATAAGGCCCCTCCCTGTCCAGACTTTCCCACAAGTATGTCAACCTTGTAGGCAAGTTTAGAATCCACGTGTGTAGGACCTCGGCCCTCGAGGAGTTTTTGAGCTTGAGGGAGAGCCTTCAATTCACAGGTTGGGCCACCCAGTTGTTAGGTAATTGTCCACCCTCACCTAAGGATTGACTGTTACCACCGATGACAGCGTAACCGTGTGTCTCTCTCCCTCTGTTCCTCGGGACGAACCATCCACGACCAATCTCACCCCATTGCATGGTGGGGCTTCCCTGGGATCAGGCCTGGCCCTAGTCTTGTGTCCTAAGCAGTTGTGGTCTGACGGCTCTTGGCTGGCCTTTCCTTTTCACAGGAACCCCCTGCATCACGTGTCTGCTGTCCTACTGCCTGAATTTCTTCCGGAGACCATGGAAGGGGGTCGGGTCTTTTGAGCACAAGAGTCAATCTACAATCTGCCATTCTGCCGTAACTGGCCGGTCTCAAAAGCTTTCTGAGTTTTTTTGTTTTTGGCAAAGGCAGATTCACTATTCCTGATATCCCCACTGGGTTGATTTTTTTGCTGTTTTTCGCTAAGTAAGGGTCCCAAGTGTTTTGCCCCTTTTTCTACAAACTGCAGTTGACTTTTGTTGACTTGTAAAGCCTTTCTTTCCCAAAAAGTTAAGCAAGTTTACAGTGATCTCTGACACTTCACGCCTCTCTTTCCCAAGATTAGAAGATCATCTACATATTGTGGAAGGTCTGAACCCTCCCAAGACTTTTTCTAACACTTGGCCAAATATATCTGGGGCTTCTGCAAAGCCTTATTGGTAACACAGTCCAGTGGTAGTGTTTTCTTCCGTTTTCAGGATTTTCCCACTAAGAAGTTCTCTGCTTCCCTGGTTGGAGGGACAAGCCCAAAATGCAGCTTTTAAACCCACCACACTAAACTGTGTCCACATGGGATCTGACCAAGGAGGGTGTAAAGACTTGGCAATGGGGCCAGCACTGTGGTGCAGGGGGTTAGTGCCCTTGCCTAAAGCACCAGCATCCCACCTGGGCGCCGGTTCGAGATCCGGCTGCTCCGCTTCCAGTCTAGCTCTCTGCTGTGGCCTGGGAAAGCAATGGAGGATGGCCCAGGTCCTTGGGCCCCTGCACCCACGTGGGAGACCTAGAAGAAGCTCCCAGCTCCTGGCTTCGGATCGGCACAGTTCCTGCCGTTGCAGCCAACTGGGAAGTGAGCCATTGGATGGAGGACCTCTCTCTTTCTGCCTCTCCTCTCTCTGTGTAACTCTGACTTTCAAATAAATAAATAAAATCTTAAAAAAAAAAAAAAACGACTTGGCATATGGGGTGACAGGTCTGATTTATACCTTGCTCACCCATACTTGGAGACAAATCTTTCCCTCTTCCTCCTCAGTTAGGGTACCCATTAGTCCTCGTATTTGTTCCTCATCCACTCTAATCTTAAACCCACTCTCACAATCAGGTCTCAGCCCAGGAGATTAATTCCTGCCTCAGGTTCATATGAAAGTGACCCCTCAACTTGTTCTGATCCTAGTCTGATTAGCAGTTTTGGAACCTTTACCCCCAATTTTTCCCTGAAGAATTCTGTGCCCTTTGGCCGATGTGTCAGGGAAGAAGGAGCAGCTCCAGGGCCAACCAGAAGCAGTGTCTCTGCCCCTTCAGGGCCCGGCATGAAGTTTATCCAGGGTTCCTGGTGGGACCCACTCAGAAGCAACCCCCTCCCCCTCCCCCTTCATCAGAAGTCACGAGGGGGGTTACCTTTTCTTCTCTCTTCCATCCTGGACACTCTCTCTTGAAACGTCCTGTCTCTCCACACCTGCCACATCCAGCTGCCCTCCGTATTCCCCCGCCCTCAGCCATTTGTTGAACGTCAGGATTTCCCCATCTTTTGAGGGAGGGATGCATTTATTTGAAAGTCAAAGTTACAGGGAGAGGGAGAGGTGTTGGGGGGAGGGATCTTCCATTCGGTGATTCACTCCCCAGACGGCCACAATGGCTGGGGCTGGGCCAGAACCAAGCCAGGACCCAGGGGCTTCATCCAGGTCCCTCACGTGGGCGGCAGGAGCCCAGATCCTTGGACCATCTTTCACTGCTTTCTCCAGGCCATTAGCAAGGCACTGAATTGGCAGTGGAGCAGCCAGGACACAAACCAGCACCCATACAGGATGCCGATGCCCCTGGCAGTGGCTTTACCTTCTACACCACCACACTGGCTAACGAGGGGGATTCTTATCCAATCCTTTTTTTTTAATCTCTTCTATGGTGGAAATGATAACTTTTACTTTTTGTTTTTAGCTGAACTTAGGCCAAAAGACCGAGGGTTCACAAATCAGGTTTTTAGGCCAAACACAGCAGCAATACTTAAAACCATTTTTTGCTTTTCTTTGTTTCTGGTCTGAGTGGTGACCCCCCCCCCCCCCAAGACACCAACATTCTCCCCAGTAGACTCTGGGGAACGTCAGAGCCTCTTCACGGCCCTGCCCTCCAGGTCTAGAATTCTGCTTTCCCATTTTTGACTCAACTCTGCCTTTCCCTGTATGCTCAATCTGCCATAATAGAGACTTCCTTCACACCACTCCAAGTCTTCCTGTGAGCTCAACCCCCAGCAGCAGAGGTTTCTTGCACACCCAGGACCCAGTTCGTCCATCTCTGGCCATTTCCCACGCAAGAGAATGAGACCTTGGGTCAGGACTCTGCACTCACTTCTTATCTTAGTCACACACACGCACTCAGCCTCCAAAAATACCCAACCACCAAGGCAGTTCTTAGAGTCCAACTTTTCCTACCTTGGCTCTTGCACGAGGTTGCTTGGTTCCTGCGGTGCCTCCATGTGCAATTCTGTGTCCCTGCCACTGTCTTCTGAATGACAATCTTGAGCTTTTCTGTGGGGGGATGCTGCACCCAAAATCGGGTGGGGTGCATCTCCCTCTGTGCCAGAATCCCCCTCCATGCAGGCCCAGAGATCCTGGATGAGCCCCGAGTTAGTAGGAAATATCCTTACCTAGGCACTCAAGAGAGGGACTCAGACTTAGGAAGTGCCGTGGAAAGTGAGACTTTATTACCTGTCTTGTAAGATCAGGTATCTGATGAGCAGGCACACCTGGCGCAGTTACAACAACCAACAACCTAGGATAAATCCTAGGTCCCTCCCCCAGCTCCTCATTGGCTGAGTACTATAGGGTGTACAGTCTTCTCGGAGGTCGTCCAAGTTACAGAATGACTGCCCTCCTCCCTTCTCTGGCCTTTGATTTCCTCTTGGCTACTCCATAACATCTTGCTTGCCTGGTGAGTCTGGTAACATCTGCAAGTCAGCTCACAGTAGTTTTCCATTCTGTGTTGCAAATGGCCCACCAGACACTTTGTTACAGCAGCCCTAGGAGATTCTCATCAGCAGACCATGATGTCACCTGCTTCTCCATAGATAACACCTTGAGGGCTGGTATTGTCTCCAGGGGTTTTGTTCAGGAGAATGGCAGGCTAGGGGCAGAAAGTAACTCCCACCTGCATGTAGCCCCCAGACTGAAGCCCACGTGGCCATCATTAAATTCCCTGAAGAGCATGGCCATAAGCATCACCGACCAGCCTGGAATTTGGATGTGCATTGCACCTCTCAGCCCATCTTCAGTCTATAAGAACCTTTACCTTTTACCCCTCGGAGGGCCCGGAAATGAAGCAATAGCTGCCTGGCTCCTTCCTTTGTGCTTGGCAAATAAACACCTCCTCTCTTCTACCTCCCTGATGCCAGCGATCGGCTTTCTGCTTGTCGGATGAGCGGACCCAGGTTTGGGGGTTCTGTAATAACTCCTCCAACTAGTTCTGGAGATTCGTTCTAGAACAGAACCAGCACCAACTAAAAACAACCAACAGGGCTGCTGCCTATGTCCCCATGAAGATCTTTAGCTAATTATATGGTCATTATAATAAAATTACCGTAGACTTCTGATATTTTCAAAATAGGGAGGGGGGTAGAAAATGGGCAGTACTCAAGCCCTACACCTAGCTCTACCCTCTCTGAATATTCAATGAATGGGCGTCACCCAAGACGCCTCCAGATCACATAGAGATGGCCCTGAACGTGCAGCTCTCTTGTGCATACCCACACCCTTTCCTGAGTGTGGTTATATTTTGCACATAAACAAATCTTGTTTCTCTGCTGACTTTTGCCTACATGTCATCCTGGAATTCTTTTCCCAGCCACCCCCATGACACCATCACCTGCTCCCTCCTGGAGTGCCCAACAGCAGGAAACTGGATTGATTGCAAGCACACTAGCCAGGACTGGACCAGGCGCTCTGATATGGGATATCACGTGAGCGTGACAAGCTTCATTCCAAGTCCTAATTTGTACTGTTTTTCCGGTTGCAGTTGGAAACTCTGGTAGAGACACTGAACACAGTGAAGATAGCACGCATCTTTTCCTTGTTCCCATCATAGCTTTTATGACCCCCATTAAGTATGAAGTTTGCTGTAGACACGTTTGCCAAATAATCAGCCTCAAGTGGGAGCTGCTCAAAAGGAAAGCTGTATTTACTTGCAATGAGTAAAGGAGACAGTAGGAAGGTACAGTTCCCCAAGGAATCTGTATTGGGGAGAAGCAGGTTTCTAGGGCATGTTCAGGATGTAGACAGGGGAGCAGGGGGGCCGGTGCCGTGGCATAATGGGTAAAGCTGCTGCCTGTGGTGCCAGCATCCCATATGGGCACCGGTATGAGTCCCGGCTGCTCCACTTCCGATCCCTCGCTCTGCCATGGCCTGGGAACGCAGTAGAAGATTGGCCAAGTCCTTGGGTCCCTGCACCCAGCCGGGAGACCCAGAAGACCACTGCAGCCATCTAGGGCATGAACCAGCAGATGGAAGACTTCTCTCTCTCTGCCTCTGCCTCTCTGCAACTCTGCCTTTCAAATAAATAAATAAATCTTAAAGGGGGGGGGAGGGGAGCTGGAGGGTGCTTCCTTCTTGCAAGTACTTAGCTTTATACATTGTGTACTGAAAAAATCTCACGCAGACTGGCTTTATTGCAGCTTTCCTGGTTTGTGGTCGTCTGGGCCTCTCTGAGTGCGATGTCGCAAAGTACGTTTTCTTGAAACGGCCACTGTCAGATTCTCTGCCCCTGTCCTTTGTCCTAAATCTTACACTCAGGTTACAATAGTGGTGCTTCCTGGGCATGTGGACGGGGCCTATGTTTAGAATGCCTTGAGTGCTGCTGTTGCCTTCGTAAAATTCTTCCTTTTTAAAAATATTTGTTTATTTGAGAGACAGAGTTGAGAGAGAGAGAGAGAGAGAGAGAGAGAGAGAGAGAGAGAGAGAAATATGAACCTTTGATCTCATGGTTCACTTCCCAAAAGGCCACGTTGGCCAGGGCTGGGCCAGGCTGAAGCCAGGAGCCAGACTCCATCTGGGTCTCCCACGTGGGTGGCAGGGAACCAAACACTTGGGTCATCTGCTGCTGCCTTTCCCAGGCCATTAGCATGGAATTGGATTGGAAGTGGAGCAGCTGGGACTGGAACCGGCACCCACATGGGATGCTGGAACTGCAGGCAGCAGCTTTACCCACTATACCACAGTGCTGGCCCCATGAACGTACACTTTGATGAGGTGTTTTTTTTTTTTTTTTTTTTTTTTTGACAGGCAGAGTGGATAGTGAGAGAGAGACAGAGAGAAAGGTCTTCCTTTGCTGTTGGTTCACCCTCCAATGGCCTCTGCGGCCGGCGCACCGCGCTGATCCGATGGCAGGAGCCAGGAGCCAGGTACTTCTCCTGGTCTCCCATGGGGTGCAGGGCCCAAGCACTTGGGCCATCCTCTACTGCACTCCCTGGCCACAGCAGAGAGCTGGCCTGGAAGAGGGGCAACCGGGACAGAATCCGGCGCCCCAACCGGGACTAGAACCTGGTGTGCCGGCGCCGCTAGGCGGAGGATTAGCCTAGCGAGCCGCGGCGCCGGCCTTCGATGAGCTTTTTAAAAAGAAAAGTTTTAAACTTACAAAAAAATTGTGACTAGTTCAGAGTTTCCAGATCCCTCACACCCAGTTGGCCCTGTTACTATCATTTTACTGTTAGTATGGAATATTTGTTACAATTAATGAATCAATAGCTCCCCATTTATTCAGATGTCCCAGTCTTATCTAATGTCCTTTTTCTGTTCTGGGATTGCATCCAAGACACCTCATTATGTTTAATTGTTGTTCTGTCTCCCTGAGTTCCTCTGGCTTGTGAGTTTCTCAGGCATGCCTTGTTTTGATGAGTGTGGTGCTTTGGAAAGATATTGGCTGGATATTTTACTGACCCTCTCTCGGCTGGGATTTGTCTGCTATTTTTCTCATGAGACTTGAGTGATGTGAGGGCACAGAGATAAATCCTTCTCATCACCTTGTATCAATAAATTATTCAGTTTTTCTTTTTTAAAGTAATTATTAGGGGCTGGTGCTGTGGCATAGTAGGTAAAGCCACCACCTGTGATGCCGGCATCCCATATGGGTGCTCGTTCGAGACCTGGTTGCTCTACTTCTGATCCAGCTCTCTGCTATGGCCTGGGAAAGCTGTGGAAGATGGCACAGGTGGTTGGGCCCCTGCACCTGCCTGGGAGACCCAGAAGAAGCTCCTTGTTTTTGCCATAGTGGCCCATCTCGGGAGTGAACCATCAGATGGGAAGCTCTCTCTCTCTCTCAATCTTTCTCTGCCTCTCTGTAATTCTGCTTTTCAAATAAATAAATAAATATTTTAAAAAAGAATTATTTATTTGGAAGAGAGAGAGAGGTATCTTCCATTCATTGGTTTACTCCCCAAATGCCCACCATAGCTTAGGCTGAGCTGGGATGAAACCATGAAACCAGGAGCCCAGAACTCTGCCTGGGTTTCCCACATGGGTGGCAGGGTTCCAAGGACTAGAGCCATCACCTGTTGTCTCCCAGGACGTGCAGCAGCAGGAGACTGAATGGAAAGCAGAGAGAGACACTTCCATACAGGATGACGGCATCTTAACTGCTGGGTCCAACGCTTGCCCCCTTCTAAGGTACAGCTGAGTGGCATTAAATAGATTCCTACTGTAACGCAATCTTCACCACTAGTGGGATCATACAGTGTTTGTCTTTTTGTCTGGCTTATCTCACTTAGCCAAAGTCTTCAAGGTTCATCCATGCCATAGCGTGCATCAAAATGTCACTCCTTACAGATAAAGAGTGTCTACTTTACGGATATGTCACATTTTGTCCAGCCATGTTGGGGGCTGAACAGGACTTTTCTCCTGGAATCCATGCAGAGATTTAAACTCTGAAGTCTAAATGCGTTGAGCGATTAGGAGTGGAGACATGGTCTACTTACAGCACTGGAGAGGTGCGCTGGGTGGGAAGCCTTGGGGGTCATTGGAGGAATGTCCTCAGAAGGAAGTTCTCACCTGAGCGTTGGCTGTTTGGGTTGAGTTCGGCCTCGCCTCTCCCTCTGCTCCCTGGCTCACCACATGACTGTTCCCCCAGACCTGCTCCAGCATGGCCAGCGTCCACCAGATGCCGGATTAACTGGGTTGCCTGATCCTGAGCTGTGACCCTCCACACTGTAGGCTGACACAAACCTTTTCCTTCCCAAGAGCCTCCTTGTGGGTATTTTAGTCAAAGTAAGGAAGAGCTGACTCAGCGCTCCATTTGTGCACCACTTGGGTTAGTCCCACCTTTTGACTGTTGTGACTAGGTCCCTGCACTATTTTTAAATTACCTTTAAAATTAACTGACAGTAAAACTGACCTTTTTTGGCATACAGTTCTATGATTTTTAACACAAGCTTAGATTTGCATAACCACCGCCACAATCAGGATACAAAAAGAATTATCCCCCAGCCGCACCCCAGTGCTCTCATGCTGCCCTGTGAAGCTGCACCTTCTCTCTACTTGTAGAATTAGATTTTTCGGGCTGGCACCACGGCTCACTAGACTAATCCTCCGCCTTGCAGCGCCGGCACACCGGGTTCTAGTCCCAGTCGGGGCGCCAGATTCTGTCCCAGTTGCCCCTCTTCTAGGCCAGCTCTCTGCTGTGGCCAGGGAGTGCAGTGGAAGATGGCCCAAGTACTTGGGCCCTGCACCTCATGGGAGACCAGGAGAAGTACTTGGCTCCTGTCTTTGGATCAGTGTGGTGCACCGGCCGCAGCGCACCGGCCGCGGCGGCTATTGGACGGTGAACCAACGGCAAAGGAAGACCTTTCTCTCTCTCTGTCCACTCTGCCTGTCAAAAAAAAAAAAAAGAAAGAAAGAAAAAAGAAAAAAAAAAAAGAAAAAAGAATTAGATTTTCATCCCCAGAGAATTTCCTGGGGAGGAAGGTTTATTTGAGTGCATGATTATGCAGGCTCACGGTCCAATCCCAGGTGGCCCCATTACATCAGCCTGGTATCTGTGGGGGGCAGGGTGCCTGTGGGGGGTGGCTAATGGGCCGAGCCAGGAAGCAAAGAGACCCAAGCAGCACTCGCTTCCTTCACATCCACGCATCTCCACTCCACAACTGAATCCAATCTAATTACTTTCCAAGGCCCCACCCACTCAGACACCATAATTCAATTAAGTTCCATTCTTAATCATTGACACAGGCTTTGGGGATCCAGACTCTAACACGGGCCTTTGGGGACACCCCGATGCTTTTCCAAGCTGAAACAGCCACACGACCTGGTCACAGGGGCTCCAGCCCAGCCACCTGGCCCGGTCTCATCACTTCCCAAAGGCTCCTCTTTCAGATACCATCTGTGATTGGATCAAGTCTCTGCTGTTTCCAGTCCATGACTTGGAAATGTAATATGCATGCATTGGCAGCCAAATCCTGTCCAGACTCTAAGATTCCACCTTGGCTCTCCAAAACTCATGTCCTTCTCATATACAACATTCAGTCATTCTAGCTCCAGATGTCCAAAGTCTCAAGTCCAACACGAATTCCAAAGCGCACGGTCTCCTATGAGATTCAAGGCAAACTCCCTTAGCCATGGCTGGGGGACAGGCCCAGAGTACACATTTCCATCCCAGAAACGGGAGACAGCGGAATATAAAGGATTAACAGGACCAAAGCTAGAGCAAAACCCAGCAGGGCAAACAGCACATCCTGAAGCCGGAACCCAGCGTCCTGAGTGCACGGTGAGGGGCGGTCCTGCCCCTGCGGCTTTGCCCACACTCAGTTCAGGCTGGAACCTCCTCTCCACAGCTCCAGCGGACACTGCCTTGGTGGGGATTCAGTGCCAACTCCGACCCCACATTTCCACTTGACGTGGCCATCATTGGGGCTTTCAGCAGCACCTTTGCCCCCGTCAGTTCTCCTGCAGTTTGCAGCATCCTTTGAAATCTAGGTGGAGGCCTCCATGCCCCCACCGCTGTGTTGGCCTCTGCCCCTGCGGCTGCTCTCTGCGGCTGTATGCTGATGTCTGCAGCTTTCCCAGGCCTGCAATGCACTGAATGCCAATTTCCTCGGCACCTGTCTCCTGTTGCTGGTACCTCCACCCTCCTGGGGTCTTCACCCTGGCATCATTCCACTGGGTGCTCCAGGTCAGGGCTCCTACCCTGAGGCACAGCTGCCTGGCCTCCCAGGCTATCCTCTGAGATCTTAGTAATAGACCTGCTACACAAATATTTGTGCACATATTTTTAAAAATTATTGATTTATTTTCTTGAAAGACAGAGGCAAAAAAAAAAAAAGAGAGAGAGAGAGAGAGAGAGACAAAGAGAGGTCATCTACTGGTTCACTCCTTAGATGGCTGCAAAGGCCAGAGCTGTGCTGACCCAAAGCCAGGAGCCAGGAGCTTCTTCAGGGTCAACAACGTGAATGCAGGGGCTCAAGGACTTGGGCCATCTTCTATTGCTTTCCCTGGCCATAGCAGAGAGCTGGATCGGAAGAGCAGCCAGGATTCGAACCAGTGCTCATATGCGATGCCGGCACTGCAGGCGGTGGCTTTACCTGCTACTCACAGCACCGGCCCCAGCGTACATATTTTTGCATGAGCAAGTTTTTATTTCTCACAACTAAATACTTAGAAGTAGGAATTGCTGGGTCTTTCTAAGAACTCTTTCCTAGCAGCTGGCAATGTGGCACAGTGGGTTATGCTGCTGCCTGCAACACTAGCATTCCATAGAGCATCAATTCAAGTCCTGGCAGCTCCGCTTCCAATCCAGCACCCTGCTAAGGCACCTAGAAAAGCCGCAGAAGAAGGCCCATGTGCTGGGTCTCCCACGTGGGAGACCCAGATGGAGTCACAGGCTCCTGGCTTGTCCAGCCGTTGCAATCATTTGGGGAGTGAACCAATGAATGCATAGATCTTTGTCTCTCCCTCTCTGTCACTTTCCTTTTTAAAGATTTATGCGAAAGGTAGAGTTACAGAGAAAAAAAAAGAGAGAGAGAGAGAGAAAGAGAGAGAGAGTCTTTCATCCGCTGGTTCACTTCTCAAATGGCTGCAACAGCCAGAGCTGGGCCAAACCAAACCCAGGAGCCAAGAGCTTCTTTCAAGTCTTCCATATGGGTGCAGGGGCCCAAGCGCTTGAGCCATTTTCCACTGCTTTCCCAGGCGCATTAGCAGGGAGCTGGATCAGAAGTGAAGCTGCCAGGACTCAAACTGGCACCCATATGGGATGCTGGTTCTGCAAGCAGTGGCTTAACCCATTATGCCACAATGCCAGCCTCCACTTTGTCTTTCAAATAAATAAAATTAATATATTTTTAAAAGAACTGTTTTACAGAGTAGCTGTATCAATAATGAGATTTCTAGTTGTTCCACACCTTCCCCAGTATGTGGTAGTATTAGTTAAGCCATTTTCATAGATACCTAGTGGTATCTTATGGTGGTTAATTTGTAGTTTCCTTTTTTTTTTTTTTTTTTTTTTTTTGACAGGTGGAGTTAGACAGTGAGAAAGAGACAGAGAGA